AGGCTGAAACTAACTGGCCTGCCTCTCCTAGGCCCTGCCACCCAGGCTGGTAAGGTAAGGGATCTTCACACCCAAGAACATCATAAAACATTTAAAACATTAATACATAGTATAGAACCAAACAAAAGTAATGAAAACATAAAACATTTGCATCTCCTAATTAAAAATATTATCCATCTAGTCGTCCAGTCGTTCCAAGTTCCTATGTCTTTCACATTGCATTTTCAAATGCTTGCTCGAACAGCCAGGTCTTGACTCTTTTTCAGAATGTTAAGAAGGAGGAGGCTGATCTAATGTCCCTAGGAAGGATGTTCCATAGCCGAGGGGCCACCACTGGAAAGGCCTTGTCTCTTGTCTCTGCCAATTGTGAAACAGGTGGGATTGAAAGCAGGGCCTCCTCTGACGATCTTAAAGTCCTAGTAGGTTCATAAGGGGAGATGTGTTTGGACAGGTAAGTTGGGCCAGAACCATTTCTCAACCTGGGGCTCAGGACCCCTGGGGGGGTCACGAGGGGGTGTCAGAGGAGTCACCAAAGACATTAAAAAATAGTATTTTCTGTTGGTCATGGGGGTTCTGCATGGAAGTTTGGCCCAATTCTGTCATTGGTGGGGTTCAGAATGCTCTTTGATTCTAGGTGAACTAAAAACCCCAGCAACTACAACTCCCAAATGTCAAGGTTTGTTTTCCCCAAATTCCACCAGTACTCACATTTGGGCATATAGAGTACCTCTGCCAAGTTTGGTCTAGATCCACCACTGAGACCACAGTGCTCTCTGGATGTAGGTGAACTACAACTCTCAAACTCAAGGTCAATGCCTACCAAACCCTTCTAGTATTTCTGTTGGCCATAGGAGTTCTGTGTGCCAAGTTTGGTTCATTTCCATCATTGGTGGAGTTCGGAATGCTCTTTGATTGGAGGTGAACTATAAATCCCAGCAACTACAACTCCCAAATGACAAAATAAATCTTCCCTGCCCAACTGCACCAGTATTCAAATTTGGGTGTATCAGGTATTTGTGCCAAATGTGTTCCAGTGAATAAAATACATCCTGCATATCAGATATAGACATGATTCATAACAGTAGTAAAATGACAGTCGGGAAGTAGCAACAAAAATAATGTTATTGTTGAGGGTCACCACAACATGAGGAACTGTATTAAGGGGCCATGGCATTAGGAAGGTTGAGAATCACTGTCACAGAGTCTCCAACAATTCAAGTTTGTGGCAGCCACAAAAAATATGAAAGGGGCAGAGTAGTTGCAGGACAACTGCCTTCAAGAGCAGCCTTGGGGGAGGCCTGAGGAAGCCCCCCTTGCCTTCTCTCTCTGCTTTTTCCAAAACCACCCAAAAGAGTGTCATTCTCGCCTCGCCCTGACACATCCTCCCTCCTCCAGGCCCAAGCTGGCTTTCTCTGGTTGGGATTCCATGCACTTGCCATTGGCATCACATCCAGGTGCACTTTGGCACTGCCTTCAGACCTCCTTCCTTCCTTCCTTCAGCTGGCAAAACCACTTTCCCTCAAAACAACCACATGTCCCATTTGTTCTCTCTCTCTCTCTCTCTCTCTCTCTCTCTCAATCTCTGGCCCCTTCCACACAGCTGTATACAATCCACATTGAACTTGAATATATGACAATGTGGAATATGTATCACCCAATTCAAAGCAGACATTGTGGGATTTTCTGCCTTGATATTCTGGGTTATGTGACTGTGTGGAAGGGCCCTTAGATTCATAGGAACCTAGAGTTGGAAGAGACCTCATGAGCTATCCAGACAAGAAGCAGGAAAATTGCATTCAAAGCATCCCGACAGATGGCCATCCAGCCTCTGTTTAAAAGCCTCAAAAGAAGGAGCCTCCACCACACTCCAGGGGCAGAGAGTTCCACTGCTGAACAGCTCTCACACTCAGGAAGTTCTTCCTAATGTTCAAATGGAATCTCCTTTCCTGTAGTTTGAAGCCATTGTTCCGTGTCCTAGTCTCCAGGGAAGCAGAAAACAAGCTTGCTCCCTCCTCCCTGTGACTTCCTCTCACACATTTATATATGGCTATCATGTCTCCTCTCAGCCTTCTCTTCTTCAGGCTAAACATGCCCAGTTCTTTAAGCCACTCTTCATAGGGCTTGTTCTCCAGACCCTTGATAATTTTAGTCGTCCTCCTCTGGACACATTCCAGAGAATACTCTTATTTTGTGAAGCTTTGTAAATTGCTGCTGAAAGAGTAAATAAATTGTTTGTTTGTTTGTTTGTTTTTTGACATCAGAGTAATTTTCTATTCAAAATACACCCTCCCTATTTCTGGACTCCCAAAAAATAGTCTTGAGGTCATTGAAGACTGTGGCTGTGATCTTAAACAGACTCAGGGCCCTTCCACACAGCTCTATATCCCAGAATAGCCTACATTATCCGAGTCTGGGCTCACATAACCCAGTTCAAAGCAGATATTGTGGGATTTTCTTCATTCTCTGTCTTTGAAATGCAAAGATACAGAATGAGGGATGCCTGGCTCGAGAGCAGTAGGTGTGAAAAAGATCTTGGGGTCCTCGTGGACAAGTGAAACATGAGCCAACAATGTGATGCTGCGGCAAAAAAAGCCAATGGGATTTTGGCCTGCATCAATAGGAGTATAGTGTCTAGATCTAGGAAAGTAATACTACCCCTCTATTCCGCTTTGGTTAGACCAGACCTGGAATATTGTGTCCAATTCCGGGCACCACAATTCAAGAGAGATGTTGACAAGCTGGAATGTGTCCAGAGGAGGGCGACTCAAATAATCAAGGGTCTCGAGAACAAGCCCTATGAGGAGTGGCTTAAAGATCTGGGCATGTTTAGCCTGAAGAAGAGAAGGCTGAGAGGAGACATGATAAGAGCCATGTATAAATATGTGAGAGGAAGTCATAGGGAGGAGGGAGCGAACTTGTTTTCTGCTTCCCTGGAGACTAGGACGTGGAACAATGCCTTCAAACTACAAGAAAGGAGATTCTATCTGAACATTAGGAAGAACTTTCAGACTGTGATAGCCGTTCAGCAGTGGAACTCTCTGCCCCAGAGTGTGGTGGAGGCTCCTTCTTTGGAGGCTTTTAAGCAGAGAAAGTATGGCCATCTGTCGGGATGCTTTGAATGCGATTTTCCTGCTTCTTGGCAGTGGGTTGGACTGGATGGCCCATGAGGTCTCTTCCAACTAGGATTCTGTGATATTCTGGGACAGAGAGCTCCTCCAAGGAAGGAGCCTCCACCACACCCAGATGCAGCGCGTTCCACTGTTGAACAGGAAGTTCTTCCTAATGCTCAGGTGTCTTATTACACAGGGAGATTTTCCATGGGACTTGGGAGTGCGTCTGCACTGTAAAATTGAAGCCCTTTGCTCCCAGTTTCAAAAAGAGCTGGTGCCTCACCAAACCACCAATCGCAGGGTGCCAGAGCAGTGAGCCGTGGCAGTTCAAGTGGGGCAAATCGTATGAATGGACCCGAGCAGGGGGCAAGCGGCGGCTTTTCCCGCCTTCTACCCTACCTTGGGCACCTATGGAAGGACTGAGGCACCCCTCTGTCCCCATTCTGGGAGTAACCAAGGGGGCCTCGAAGTGTTCTTCCTCTTCTCCTTCTCTCCCTCTTGCTCTGATGAGAGGCGAGAGAGACCCAAACAAAACCAACATCCGTGGCAGAAAGAAAGTGCCTTGGCCTGCCTTCCCCATCCTCGCCGCCCCTCTCGAAGGCTGGCCGCTGGCTCCCTTGTTTGTGGCGAAGACGAGCCTTCCCTCCTCCCGCTTCCGCCCCAGAAAGCACGAAATAACATCCGAATCAGTGTCGTGGTTGGCTTGGCTTCCAGTCGGGAAACATCTGAATTTTACTAAGAGGAGGGTAAACATGAAGAGACAGGGAAGCCAGGAGGAGGAGGAGGAAGGGAAGGAAAGAAAGAAGAAAAGAAGGAGAAGGAAGAAGGAAAGAAAGAAAGGAAGAAAGAAAGGAAAGGAAGAAAGGAAGAAGGAAAGAGGGAAGGAAGGAAAGAGGGAAGGAAGAAAAGAAAGAAGGAAGGAAGAAAGAAAGTAGGAAGGAAAGAAGGAAGGAAGAAAGGAAAGAAGGAAGGAAAGTAGGAGAGAAGGAAAGTAGGAGGGAAGGAAAGAAAGAAGGAAGGAAGGAAGGAAAGAAAGAAAAGAAAGAAAGGAGGAAGAAGGAAAGGAGGGAAGGAAAGAAAGAAGGAAGGAAAGAAGGGAAGGGAGAAGGAAGGAAGAAGGAAGAAGGAAAGAAGAGGAAGAAAGAAAGGAAGGAGGAAAGAGGAGGAAAAGAAAGAAGGAAGGAAGGAAGAAGAAGAAAGGAAGGAAAGAGGAGGGAAGGAAAGAAAAGAGAGGAAGGAAAGAGGAAGAAGAAGAAAGAAGAAAGAGGAAAGAAAGAAAAAAAGGAAAGTAGGAAGAAAGAAGGAAGGAAGGAAGAAAAGAAAGAAAACACCGGAGAAAGATCATACAGGATGATTTTATGTTTGTCTGTTTAAATTTTATGTATGTCTTTTGTTTAATGGTTTTAATTGAGTTTAAATTCATAGTTGTATGTAATAATTCGTTATTATGTTTTCTTTGTGTATTGTATGTTGGCATGGAATTTTTGCCATAAGTATTTTGTAAACCGCCTTGAATTTCCCCAGGGGTGAGAAAGGCAATATACAAATACAATAAATAAATAATTTTTTTAAGTAAAGCAATTTAAACCCCAGTGAGTCCTGAGCCTATATATTCCAAGGTTCAAACATATCCTTCTACACTATCACATAAAATCCAGATTGCCTACTTGGAACTGGATTAGATGGCAGTGTAAACTCATATAATCCAGTTCAAAGCAGATTATCTGGATTATCTGCTTTGCTAATCAGGATTATACCACAGTGTAGAACAGACCTCACGCCCCTTCTACACTGCCATACAAAATCCAGGTTATCCACTTTGAACTGGATTATATGGCAGTGTAGACTCATATATCTATCAACGTCAAGTTTAACAAATCTAAAGATATCAGTGTGTATTCTCCCTCCAAAGGAGGGAATCTTATTGAACACATTCGCACTTTAAACTGAGTCACAACGAGTCTCTGTACCCAGTTTGATCGGAAACGTCCCCACGGAATGTTTTGCTCGCATTCAAGTCGCTTCCGACTTAGGGCGACCCTACGGGATCCTTCTCCCCGGGTTTGTTCGGAAGAGGCTTGCCTTCGCCTTCCTCTGAGGCTGAGAGAGCGTGACTTGCCCAAGATCAGCCAGTGCGAGGCCCCAACCACAACTCCACGCGGATTCCCTGTCTTTAGATGACCACTTCCCGGAGTCTGAAGAAATCCCCATTTGCCGGCCTCTGCTGCTTCCGAGTGACATTCTCTGTGATGCCTGGTGAAACTGGGAAGGATTGGGGGGAGAAGGCACTGAGCAAAAGCGGAAAAGAAGAAGAGGAAGAAGAAGAAAAGGAAGAAGGATTTCCCTTCTCCAGTTCAAGGGTCTTGGATCAGCCTGTGCAACTTCCTCAAGGGGTAGGGCTAGTTTCTTTCTCACTTATAACACCCTCTTTCTTTTCTTTTGTTTCATGGCCGGAATCGCTGGGATGCTGTGAGTTTTTCGGGCTGTATGGCCCTGTTCCAGAAGCATTCTCTCCTGACGTTTCTGTGGCAGGCATCCTCAGGGGTTAAGGGGTGTTTTGGAAAACTAGGGAAGTGAGATTTATGTATCTCATTATTTTATTTCATTATTTCTCCCTCCCTATCATCTTCCTTTTTCTTCTTAATTTCTTCCTCCTTTCGTTCTTCCTTCCTTCTTTCTTTCTCTCTTCTTTCTTTCCTTTCTTTCTTTCTCTCTTTCTTTTTTCCTCCTCCTTCCTTTTCTTTTTTTCCTTCCTCCTTCTTTCCCTTTTCTTCTTTTTCTTTCCTTCTTTCGTTCTTTTCTTTCTTTCTTTCCTCCTTCCACTTTTCTCCTCCCTTCTTTTCTTTCTTTCCTCCCCCTTCATTTTCTTCTCCTCCTCCTCCGTTTCTTCTTCTCTTTCCTTCCCTAATTCCTTGCTTTTTTCCTCCCCAACTTCTCTTTCTCTTATTTTCTCCTTCCTTCCTTTTCCCCTTTCCTTCTCTTTCCTTCCTTCCTTCCTTACCCTCTCCTTCTCTTTCTTTCTTTCTTTCTTTCTTTCTTTCTTCCTTCCTTTTCCTTCCTTCTCTCTTTCCTTCCTTCTCTTTCCTTCCTTTCTTCCTCCTTCTTTCCTTCTTTCTTCCCTCCCCCTTCCCTCCTTCTTTTCTCTTCTTTCTTCTCTTCCTTCCTTCCTTTTTCCCTCCTTTTTTCTTTCTTTTCTCCTTCCTTCCTTTCCTTTCTCCTTCTTTCTTTCTTTCATCCCTCCCTCCTTCTTTCTTCTTTCCTTCTTTCTTTCTTTACCCTCCTCCCTTCTTTCTTTCTTTCTTCCTCCCTTCCCTCCTTCTTCCTCCCCTCCCCTTCCTTCCTTCCTTCCTTTCCCCCTCCTTTCTTTTCTTTCTTCTTTTCTTTCTTTCCTTTCTTTCTTTCTTTCTTTCTTTCTTTCTCCTTCTTTCCTTCCTCCTTCCTTTCTTTCTTGCTTCTTTCTTTGTTTCTTTCCTCCTTCTTTCCCTCATTTCTTTCTGCCCTCCTTATTTCTTCCTTCCTTTCCCCCCTTTCTTTTCTTTTCTTTTCCTTTCTTTCTTTCTTTCTTTCTTTCTTTCTTTCTTTCTTTCTTTCCTCCTTCCCTTTCTTTCTTGCTTTCTTTGTTTCCTTCCTCCTTTCCCTCATTTCTTTCTGCCCTCCTTATTTTCTTCTTCCACTTCTTCTTCTTCTTCCTTCTCTTCTTCTCCTTCCTTCCTTCTTCCCGCCTCTCCTCCTTTCCCTCTCTCTTTCTCCTTCCTTCCTGCCTTCCTTCCTTCTTGAATAGCCGGTGTGCCTTGGGCGGGCGAAGGCAGGGCCGTCTTGGCAAGCCTCGCCTCCCGTTTCTCCCCGACGCCTCGCCAGCTTCTGGTGTTATTTCCGACGGATTCAATTTTTTAAAACCTCTAAAAGCAGAGGGAGGGAGAGAGAGAGAATTAAGAAAGAGGACAGGAAGGCGATGTTGAGAAAGTAAACAGGGTGACTCAGGCGGGGAGAAGAAGACGACGAGGACACCCCCCTTTTCTTTTCTTTTCCTTCCTTTCGTCTTGGCCGCGCCAGCGCAGTTCCGTTGCCCGCCGGCAGGGGTCGCTGCCCGGAGTGCCGGCGCGCCTCCTCCTCCTCCTCCTCCTCCACCTCCAGCCCCGCGGCCGCAGTCCTCCTTCTCGACGACGTCCACTCGATTGAACACAATGTTCAAAAGCGGCCGGGGAGGCCGAGGAGCCCTCAAAGCCCTCCGAGGAGCCCAGCCTGCCACCCACGGACCCGCACCGGGAGCATGCAGCTGAAGGCGGCGGTGACGGCGGCGCCCTGGTGGGGGTTGTGCTGGGCCTGCGGCTTGGTGGCTTTGCTGGACGCCGCGGCCGTGCCCTCCGCGGAGAGGAGAGGAGGAGGCCCCGCCGTGGTGGTCCCCCACCAGTATATGGTGGCCCTTTACCACCGCCTGGCCCACACCAAGGAGAATCCTCGAAGAGAAGGAGAAGGAGAAGGAGGACCACGCGCGGCGGACACGGCCACGGGATTCGTGGACCAGGCGCAGCAGCACGCAGGTGAGCCACAGGCAGGTCGCCCAGGGCCAATTTGCCCCCTCTTCCCCCAATTCCAAAGCATTTCCCACCTTCTTGGGGGACGTCCACACTGTCGGGTGTCTTTCACCTTCTCCTCCGCCCTCTCGGAACTAATTTGTGGGCTTTTCTGCCCTTCATCTTCTGGGTTAAATGGCAGTGTGGAAGGGTCCCTCGTTTGCAAACGAAGTTTCTGGAGGAGAGCAACAAAAGTCAAGGTGAAGGTTTCCACTGAGATTAAGTCTAGTGGGGTCCGACCCTGGGGGTTGGTGCTCATCTCCATTTCATGGTAACATCATTAATTTTCAACTTTCTTAATTGAACCGTTAGTAAATAAGGTAAAGTCTAGTTGTGTCCCACTCTGCGGGTTGGTGCTCATCTCCATTTCTAAGCCGAAGAGCCGGCGTTGTCCGTAGACGCCTCCAAGGTCATGCGGACGGCAGGGCTGCATGGAGCGCCGGTGCCTTCCCGCCGGAGCGGTACCTATTGATTTACTCACATTTACGAACTGCTAGTTTGGCAGAAGCTGGGGCTAACAGCGGGAGCTCACCCCCGCTCCCCGCATTCGAACTGCCAACCTTTCGGTCAGCAAGTTCAGCAGCTCCAGCGCTTCAACTACTTTGAAACGAAACACCGCACAATTAAACAGGAAATAACATTCTGCGCAGTGGGTTAAAGCGCTGAGCTGCTGAGCCAACCTAGCAGTTCAAAACCATGCAAATGTGAGTAGATCAATAGGTACCGCTCCGGCGGGAAGGTAACGACGCTCCGTGCAGTCATGCCGGCCACATGGCCTTGGAGGTGTCTACGGACAACGCCGGCTCTTCGGCTTAGAAATGGAGATGAGCACCAACCCCCAGAGTCGGACACGACTGGACTTAATGTCAGGTGAAAACCTTTACTAGCATTATCAAATCAGGAATTGAGCATTTTTCAATTTTGCTCCATATCTCGGATCCGATCCTGGGTATATAGGGCAGTGTAGCTCCAGCCTATTTTAATTCGTAAGAATGGAATCGGATTTCGAATTTAGCTGTGTGTTACAAGTCTCCCCACCCAAAGAAATGGGTTTTTTTTTCAATCGCTTTGTTTAAAAGGAAAAAGAAAATGGAATCCTTAAAAAAATCAAAGCACACCATTATTATTATTTTTTTGCAGACTGGGACTCTATAAAATCCACATTCTCTGCTTTGAACCGGATTATATGGAGCCCCCGGTGGTGCAATGAGCCCCCGGTGGTGCAGTGGGTTAAACCCTTGTACTGGCAGGACTGGTGACTCAATGAGGAGAACGGGTTGAGCTTCCTCTGTCAGCTCTAGCTCCCCATGCGGGGACCTGAGAGGAACCTCCCACAAAGCATCAAACATCGAGGAGTCCCCTGGGCAACGTCCTTGCAGATAGCCAATTCTCTCACAGAAACTTGCAGTTTCTCAAGTCCCTCCTGACAGACACACACAAAACCCAGATTATATCTCAATGTAGAAGGGGCCTGGGGAAAATATCTCAGGCTGGACCTAGACTGCCCTATATCCCAGGCTCTGATCTTAGATTATCTGTTTATAACAGATTCTTTGACAGTGGGGACTCATATAATCAGTTCAAAGCAGATAATCTGGGATCAGATCCTGGGATATAGGGCAATGTAGTTCCAGCCATTAACTAGAAAAGGGCTGCTTACTTTTGGGGTGGAAAAAAAATTCAGGAACTCAGGGCCCTTCCACACAGCCCTATATCCCAGACTATCAAGACAGAAAATCTCACAATATCTGCTTTGAACTGAGTCATCTGAGTCCACAATGCAATATATTCCAGTTCAAAGCAGATAATGCGGGATTTTATTCAGCTGTGTGGAAGGGGCCTCATATAAACTGTAAGAATAATGTGTAATCTGTGAGGCAGGAGGAGAAATTCCTTTGGAGGAGTCTGTTTGGAAGTTTAAATGCAACCCTGGGCGGGTTTTCTATGGCTGGATCTACATTGCCCTATATCGCAGGAACTGATCCCAAGTTATCTGCTTTGAACTGGGTTATATGAGTCTCCACTACCAAATAATTATCCACTGAGATAAGCAAATAATTTGGGATCAGATCCTGGGATATAGGGAAGCTGGAAGGGGTCTAAGCCACCCCTCAAAAAATTTGACTCAAACCACAGAAGGAATGCACGTTTACACCACTTCGAATCAACTGGATATAATCCACATTATCCGTTTTGAACTGGGTTATATTAGTGTAGATGCAGGGCCCTTCCACACAGCCCTATAACCCAGAATATAAAGGCAGAAAATCCCACCATATCTGCTTTGAATTGGATTATCTGAGTCCACACTGCCATATATTCCAGTTCAAGCAGATAATGTGGGATTTTGTTTAGCTGTGTAGAAGGGGCCCCAATGTCAAGGGTAAAGCTTTACTTATTATTATTATTATTATTATTATTATTATTATTATTATTATTATTATTATTATTATTTGAAACACAAGACGAGTCCACAGCAGACAAGATCACTCTACTGGCTGTTGCATTGGATCACACGTTGGACACTTCCCAAGAGTCCAGGATTGTGTGATGTATCCACGAATAGTGCATGCAGATCCCAGTAAAGTGGCCTTTTGCAGCTGGCAGATGGTAATCTTGTCAGTGCTGATTGCGTTTAAGTGCAGGCCAAGGTCTTTAGGCACTGCACCCAGTGTGCCAATCACCACTTGGCCCACCTTGACTGGCTTGTGCCAGAGTCTTTGCAGTTCGATCTTTATTATTATTATTATTATTATTATTATTATTATTATTATTATTATTATTATTATTATTATTAGGACGGATCTACACTGCCCAATATCCCAAGACCCTTCCACACAGCCATGTAATCCAGAATATCAAAGCAGAGTAACCCACAATATCTGCTTTGAACTGGGTTATCTGTTGGTCCTTCCACACAGCCCTTATATCCCAGAATATCAAGGCAGAAAATCCCACCATATCTGCTTTGAACTGGGTTATCTGAGTCCACACTGCCATATATTCCAGTTTAAAGCAGATAATGTGGGATTTTATTCAGCTGTGTGGAAGGGCCCCCAATGTCAAGGGGAAACTTTTATCTATTATTATTATTATTATTATTATTATTATTATTATTATTATTATTATTATTATTAGGTTGGATCTACACTGCCCAATGTCCCAAGACCCTTCCACTCAGCCATGTAACCCAGAATATCAAAGCAGAAAATCCCACCATGCTTTGAACTGAGTTATCTGAGTCCACACTGCCATATATCCCAGTTCAAAGCAGATAATGTGGGATTTTATTCAGCTGTGTGGAAGGGCCCCCAATGTCAAGGGGAAACTTTTATCTATTATTATTATTATTATTATTATTATTATTATTATTATTATTATTATTATTATTATTATTATTAGGCTGGATCTACACTGCCCAATATCCAAGGATCCTTCTATACAGCCATATAAACTCAGAATATCAAAGCAAAATAAACCACCATATCTGCTTTGAACTGGGTTATCTGTTGGACCTTCCACACAGCCCTTCATTGTTCATTTGTTCAGTGGCGTCCGACCCTGTCGCCAGTCACCACCCCCAGCTCCTTCAAGGTCAAGCCAGTCACTTCAAGGACACACAGCCCTCTATCCCAGAATATCAAGGCAGAAAATCCCACCATATCTGCTTTGAACTGGGTTATCTGAGACCACGCTCAGAGAATGTGGGATTTTGAAAGAAGGACGGGAAGATGGGAAATCTCGAAATACGCACCACTTTGTGTGCCAGGGCTCAATGCAAGGGAGGCCAGCACTCTTTGGCAGAGAAGGCGGCAGAAAGAAAGACCTTGTAAACCTTCTCTGAATCCCTCGCATTGAAAGCGGAGTCGGGCTGCATTCCTTCTACACCGTGTGCCTAGTTTGGGTTTTGATTTCTTTTTGTAATAATGGGAAGGCGGGAGAAGGGGAAAGGGCCAAAGGTCTGGGAAGGGTCGCTCTCTCCGCCACAAAAAGCAGGAAGAGGAATCTGTCCTCAGCTCCCCTTCCTCACCAGGCATTCCGCCGCCCGGGCCAAGACTCCCGCGAGGACACCTGCCACTCACCTGAGAGGATGGAAGGGATTGGCTGAGAGGCGCAAGGGGGGCGGGGACAGCAGGTGCAGCCGAGTCTCCACCGAAAGATGTTCCTCCGAAACAAAGCCTAGCCAAAAAGCCTCCGCAACACAGTTTCCCGAGCCGTGAACAGCGAAAAGAGCTCCATCAGCCTTGGCTCTCGGTGATCTCCGGGGCATTTCCCTTTCCTTTTTCTCCTTCTCTGCAAAAAATGCCCAGATTCAGAGCTTTCCACAAGTTCCCAGAGGGAAGAACTTGTGCCGATCTCAATGGGACTTCTTTCCCAGTCCACATGCTTAAGATTGAGCACGATTTTTTTTAAATGTTTCGGAACATTTATTTAAATGTTTTAACGTCCGCTGGAAATAACGGGAGACCCATGGGGATGGCTCCAAAGTTAACTATCTGTCTATCTATTCATTCTGTCTGTCTGTCTATCTATCTATCTATCTATCTATCTATCTATCTATCTATCTATCTATCTATCAGTCATTCTGTCTGTCTATTTATCTATCTATTTATTCTACCTACCTACCTACCTACCTACCTTTCAATCTATTCTATCTTTTTGTCAATCATCTAATCTATCTATCTATCTATCTATCTATCCATCTATCAATCACCCCTTCCACATAGCCATATAACCCAGAATATCAAGGCAAAGTGGGTCCCTATCTATCTATCTATCTATCTATCTATCTATCTATCTATCTATCTATCTATCTATCTATCTATCTATCTATCTATCTATCTATCTATCTATCTATCTATCTATTTGCCTATCTATTCATTCTATCTGTCTATCTATCTATCTATCTATCTATCTATCTATCTATCTATCTATCTATCTATCTATCTATCTATCTATCTATCTAT